ATGCCCGAGACCACACCTGCGCGGCCCGCCCGCCTGCGTCGTGCTCCTCGCTCCCATCATCCCCGAGACACACCTGCGCGGCCAGCTCGCCTGCGTCGTGTTCCTTGGCTCCATGTTCCCGAGACACACCTGCGCGGCCAGCCCACCTGCGTCGTGCCCCTCGGCTCCATACTCCCTGAGACACACCTGCGCGGCCAGCCCGCCTGCGTCGTGCTCCTCTGCTCCATACTCCCCGAGTACACCTGCGCGGACTGCCCGCCTGCGTTGTGCTCCTCGGTCCTCGGCTGCACACCGCCCGAGACCACACCTGCGCGGTAACCCGCTTGCATTGTGCTCCTCGGTCCTCGGCTGCACGCCACCCGAGACCACACCTGCGCAGTAACCCGCCTACGTTGTGCTCCTCGGTCCTCGGCTGCACGCATGGTGCCCGAGCTGCCGACCCGACCTGTGTGCAGGTACTCGACCGAAGCCGATCCGGCCGGGCGTCTCGAAGCATCCCAGTCAGATCCCCCGTAATTATGGAATGCTGTACATTTTGCCATGACAAAGCTTGGAGATGACTATTGTCCTCGTGAGATTCATACTATTGAATCGATGCCGTTAATATGCCAATGGACACTTTCAGTTTTAAACAAGGCCGTATGGAAAACTATATCAGCTTTCGAGTCATACAAGTTCTCAGACGCTTCTACAGTCTTATATTCATGGTGGCAATATCAATTTTGTGATGTCTTTATTGAAGCGGTCAAACCTTACTTTGAGAACTTATCAGAGTTTGAATATGCTAGAGAAGCCTCAAGGGATACTCTATGGATATCTCTAGACACCGGTTTGCGTCTTTTACATCCCGTGATGCCATTTATTACTGAAGAATTATGGCAGCGTCTCCCTCGAGCAGAAGGAAAGAAAGAATCCATTATGATATCAGAGTATCCATCAGTTGTGGAGGTGAGCATAGTCTCCTTTTTGTTAGTGTTGCCAATTTCTGAACTTTATTTCTCTATTTCTCTTTATAGGCACGGACAAATATGAGAATTTAAGTTCTATTCATTTTATAGGCATGGACAAATGAGGGGATTGAGGAAGATCTAGAGATTGTTAATGCTGCTGTGAGAAAGTTTAGATCGCTACGTCCGCAATGCAACGAGAACAGAAGGTTCTAACAAACTATCTGCTTATATGAAAAAAACTTAGTTGTCAGTACCCGCACAGGACAGTATTATTGTAGTATTCCACTAAAATCATATAAATTTTTTTCAAGTGTCCATTTATGTTTGTACCATTGGTATCCAGATATTGGTACATAGTTGTAATTGTCAATGTGGACCTCTATTTCGAATGCTACTAGTAGTAGATTTTTCTGTGTTGGAAACTGTATTGACGTGTTTATATCCTCCTTTCCAGATTTCCAGCTTTTGCACTCTGCCGAGGACATCATATCACTAATATCATGAAGACCTATGAATTTGAGATAACAACTCTCGCATCTGTATCTTCTTTAAAGGTTATCTAAAGAAAACCTATTGACAATTCTTTTTAGCAGAGCTTTCTTTTATGCTTTCAAACAACTGGAAGAAGAAACAATAGCACTGTTAGTGATGTTTTTATTGGACTTTCGAACTTTACACTATCAGATATTTTTTCACTTCTTCTGTATCTTCCTTCAAAATTTATTCGCAGAGGAGTTGTTAATTATTTTTGTTGAGTAGAAACCGTTAATAATTCTTGCTGAGTAAAGCTGTCTTGTGCATTTTCAAACGATTAGAAGAAGGAATATCTTAGCACTATTAATGATATTTTTATTTGAGTTTCAAACTTTTCTGTGTTAACTATTGAAATCTTACGCTAGTCATTTCCTTGGTTTTCCATGTTTCATGATTGTGTGGTTTAGCTTGTGGTTCCATTTTCGTTATATTTTTATTTGTTATTTTTTATATTAAAAAATTAATGTACAATATGAAGAATATTATCAACTTTATTGGTAGTTTACCTTCTCCACATGTTCTTGCTATAATTGGATTACAAAATTTTTATTAAATATGAAATTATATGTTTACAAATTCGTGTAGGTTCTGGTTGAGAATGACATGGCTCCAGCTGGATGTGCTGAAGATATCGTAAATAAGAACCTGACCGTGTATCTCAAGCTTGAAGGAACACTTGATACAGAAACTAATTAGTTCACTTTATCTATAGGTTAATTATAGCTTTTTTCAAGATTTGGAGGATCCTACCAATTGGAAGATCAAATAACTCGATGTTTTGATCAATTTAAAAATATTATATATTAAATTTTATAAAAGAATATTATATTTAAGATTCAGAGGGTTGTATTATTTAATACTAAAAGATCAATTTTTTGTGATATTCAGGTTCTCTCATATAAAGTTTCTTAAAAGACATTAACTATATCTTAGTTGGTAAATATCATTGGTGATAGAAAGGATGAGACTAAATCACATATGCATCACTTTTCATTTATGTTATATTGCATATATGTTAAAATTTATACCTACTATATAAGTAAAATTTATAATGTTAAGTT